AAGCACCTGGTTCATTCATTATCTGATTTCATTATAAAAGTTCATTTTTTGTTCTGTGAAGCAGATATAGATAAGCTGCAGCTCGGCAGAGTCCTTGAGGACGGACCATGATCTAATCAATCTAAGTGTCAACACGCACTGTAGAATCTTTCTTGCAGCTCAGAAGATTGAAAGACGCACAGAGGCAGATTAATGTCTGAAGATGACTTGTCTCTGAAAAGGCCAATATATAGATGAAAAACTGACCATTTCTGGATGCAACATTAGTTATCAAATTAAAGTTACTTGTCCAAGACACTATACGTTACTGGATACATTTTTTCTCTAGCTGTTTTTGTAATCAGCTGCCCTGGGGCACACTGAGGTGAGGCTGCTGCTGCCAGGCGCCACCGACCATTGCCAGTTGGTAAGGAAGCTGAAGCTGATGCAGCCCGATGAGCATCAGACTTTAGTTAGATTACATGTAGTTTAGCATTTGACTAAAACTTTCAATTTTTTAAAATTCTAGACCTAGAGCTGACCTCTGATGGATTGATGATCTCATGTTTCAGTGAAACTTTAGGGAGCTGTTAAATTATCTCTAATTTCATACTGATCGCATATTTTGTTTATAATTTTTTGCAACAAAATTTCTGATTTAAAAACTATTTTATATCCACATATCTAATCTAAAAGTCAGTTCTTTTAAAAAGGCCCTTTTGTATCAGTACACCTCCATCTGATTTTTCAGGTATGAAGACTTGATGACCTCCTAAATCACTGCGCATAATTTAAGTGGGGGCTTTAGATTTATGAGCTTTTAAAATGTCCCAAATCCATCAATCTCTTAAAGACCAATAAGTGAAATATTCAAACCTCTGGTGTCCTCAACTGCAGTTCAGTTTATGTCCTCCAGTCATGTGGTTGATGTTTGTTCACTGTCGAGAGCTGCTTCAGCCCAAGTATCTGCTGTGTGGAGATGGAAAAACTAATCACTCTGAATAATCTAATGTATTTTTCAGTGAGTGCTAAAAGGCTTTTAGAGAACTTGCCTCTTCAAACCATTTGTCATACTACTCTCTCTCCACATGACCCCATCTTCACCTTTTCTGTCTCAGATGGAGAAATGCCCCTTGTAGTGGAGTTGTAGCCCTCACAGGCCAGCCTGCAGCAAGATGAGCTCAGAAGAGCACAGCTCGCAAAAAATCTCCTCTGTGTCACACAGCAACAGCAGCTCCTCCTCCAAACATGAGGGCCGACAGGTAACGTTCAAGCATTATCCACCATGTCCTCGATAAATGTTTCCGACTGTAGTGCTCTGAGTCACTGAAAGCAATTTGTAGTTTCCTTAAAGCCCCCCCACCCCACCCCCACCCCACCCCACCCACACACACACACACACACACACACAACATGAAATTAAGCTGATGAACCAACAAGCTTTGAATTTTTATTGGCAGGCTGCAGACTCATGAATTTTTCATTATCCATTTAGCTTTTTCTTTTTGTAAATGAAAGTAAGTGAATTTCACTCAAGTACCACAAACAGGACAAACCTGCATTTCTGAGTATTTATCAAGGGGCAGTCACTGTCTGCATTATGCAAAGCCAACATGTAAGTGACCAAAATTGCAGTTCCCCCTCATCCGCTATAGGTGCTGGCTCAACAGCACATTCTCATTGCCTCCCATGTTGGAAATACCAGGTTCACAGCAGGAAAAAACATGTTGACAGCCTGGTACAAACACCATCTAGGTCCAACAGTTCTAGTTTACATGCATGGCAACTCTGAGGGGGTAGCGTTTTTTGTAACTCTTCCATTTAGTTGTGATGCTATTTATGCTATTTGATTGACAGGTAGCATGAGAGTCTGGGCTAGCACTGTGCACAATGTGGAAACGCTAAGTGTGTTTTCAGGCAGGATTTATTACTCTTAGAACTTTTTTAACACAAATTGGCAATGAGATCCATAGTTTCAGAGATATAGCTGATATAGTAAATGCTCGATCCATTGTACACTTTCACTGGGACGGTCAACGTTTCCTGTTTGGCTGACCGTAGGGAGCAAGCAGGAGCATAACTATGAAGCAGGTCTGACATATAAGAAGGGGCACTGCCCTGAAGAGACATGAAAACAAACACCAGGATTTTGAAACTGACCCATTTAGGAACTGGAAGCCAGTGCAGGGCAGCTGGTATTGGTGTAGTATGGTCTCTCCTCTTAGTCCTATGAGTCGGGCAACAGAGTTCTGCACCATCTGAAGCCTGGCCTAAACGAAGTTTTCAATTATGATTCAGCCAAAGAGGACAAAACAGTGGGGTCACAACATGATTTGTTGACTTTGCATGGTTTTTTAATGTACAAACATTTAGGAAGCTGAATGAAAACTGAGCAATGAGTAAGCAGTGGCTTTATTCAGTTTGGAACTTAAAATCAGCCCAGCAAGAAGTGTGTCGGGAAAGATGCAGCATTGACTCTGAGAGTGTTGTAAATGAGCTGAGTGAGGAAAAGACAAAGAAACACTTAGAAAAAGCCAATAACAATGAAAATAAAAAAGAGCAAAGACAAGAAACACTTGCTTAACCCTTCTACTGTCCTATCAGATGAACCCTCCAGGGCAGGGGTGGTTAAACGTGGTTTATTGTTTATTCCTTCGCTAGGGTGAAGTGGTACACTCCTAATAAATAAATAAATAAATAAAAACGCACCTGGGGCCCATCTGACCCCATTAACAATGCAGGAGGGTTAAATGACAAACGCTAACAAGCTCTTGAAATATTTGGAAACAAGGTGTAAGCTCATACAGCCGATTGAATAAGTGAAGAAAGCCTTTTGGAGCACCTGGCAACTGAAATCCATGTCCTATCAAACAGAAAACACCACAAACACAGACACACACGCACACTGGATGTTGTTAGGAGGATGGAGTTCAAACGATTTGAGAGTTTCTTTAATGTCATATTTATTTTAACAACCAGGATTTCAGCAGGTCCATTCCTGAAAGACAGCAGTTTTTACAAACAACCCCTACCATCCTCAGCGGGAGGCCTGCAGACCAAATCTGCTAAACACTCTCAGATATTAAATAACATTTTTATTACACTAAGAGCTGTTTCCCTGAACTGTTTCATGAGCAGTATGACCTGCTTTTATTTCTGGAAGTGTTGCTTGACCTTGAAGAATGGCAGAGGCTGACAATAATGACTCCCTGTGTGTGTGTGTGTGTGTGTGTGGGGGGGGGGGGGGGGGGGGCTGTGATGAGCCCTGGAAAAGCTTCTCTCATGCAATGCTCTTGTCCCTGCCCCATTACCACAGTTGTTTTTATTTTTTCCCCCTTTTTCATTTAGAAAGCCTCACCTTCAGCGTTCATCTTGTCCAGCTGACAGTTAGTTGAGCTCAAACTGGTAATTTGGAAATGGTCAAAGACACGCTGAAAAAAAAAAATACCAACGAGAATCACGTAAAACCTCGGCCAAAGACAATTTTGTTATCTGAGTGTTTGGGTCTCTATTTCCAAAGTACATTTTTGTCCACTGCACTTTTCCCATACAAAAACTATATTAATCTACTGTATATTAAATAAACACTAGTTGAGCACTAAGACAAAACAAACGCTCGTATTGAAGCCCGTTTCCCACTAGAACTGTCCATAAGCACATCTACTGGCTCTGCTGATACTTGTCACAACCTGTCCTGTCTCCCCACTCTTTTCAGCCCTGTGTCTTCCCTAATTGCTCCCACCTGCCTCTCGTCTCCCACTAACTTTAGATCCCAGCTCCTCTTGTATTTAAACACTCCCAGTTCTGTGTTCCTTATCTGTTCATTGTTTCAGTGTCCATTGAGCTCATCATTAAAACCTTTTGAATGTTGCTGCCTGCCTGCCTGCCTTTGGATTCTCACCTCAACCACTCTACTTCGCTCCGCGCTCGTGACAGAATGAACAGACCTCCTGAAGGATCCAGCGGGGAAATTGTTCCCTGGGAGTGCCTGCTGCAGTAGCTCTCTCCCAGCTACCAGCCGGCCTCCCCTCCTCCAGCGCTGCCGTGCCGCATATGCCGCCGCCAAACGTCGGCCTTGGTGATCCTTTCTGCCCTGCCCGATCCAGATGGGAGGTTGGGCTGGGAGGCGTAGCCGGACAACTTCCCCTACGAGAGCACCAGACTGGCAGTGTGCTCTCCTGGAGTTGGTCCACGACGCGGGAGGGAACCCAGGCCCCGTCGTCACCTGCAGCCCGGGAACTGTGCCACGGGCGCGCCACAACTCCTGCTGATGTCACCTCCAGCTCCTCAGTGAGTCAGACTCCAGAGGGGGTTGTGAAGACGTCCCACGAGCAGTGCACTCAGCCGGGAGACACTCCTCCCGAGGTCTCCTCCCACTCTAAGAGGGACCAGATGGTGGGGTCAAATGAGCAGAGTATTGCTGTCCACCTCAGAGGTCCCTGCTCTGCGTTCCAGCTTGGACGCTCAGGCTCCGTCTCTAGTCCAGTCAGCACCTTCGTCGACAACAGACCAAGGGATCGAGCCTGCAGACGACACAACGGAGCTCGCCGGTCTCCAGTCTGAGCTGGCCCGGCTCCGTCAACTCCTCAGTCTGCAGGAGTTCCAGTTGGAGACCCTATCCGCCCTTGTTCTCCAAGAGGCACCTCCAGAAACTCCAGTGGCCCTGCCTGCAGCGGCCCCGCCTCCAGTTACTTCAGCGGCCCCGCCTGTAGCAGCCTCGCCTCCAGTCACTTCAGCGACCCTGCCTGCAAGCGACCCGACAGAGTTCACCTGCCTCCAGTCTGAGCTGGTCCGGCTCTGTCAACTCCTCAGCCTCAAGACACTATCTGCCCTGGTTTTCCAAGAGGCGCCTCCAGAGACTTTAGCGGCCCCGACTGCAGCAACTCTGCCTCGTGACAATACTTGCTAACGTGTGATTGACTGTTCCTGCCACCTGTGTGCTTGACAGTTTTGCATTCCTGACAGCCTCTAGTCTAGGCTGTAGTTTTATTGATATTTTCTGTATACTTACTGGAAAGATTTCCATTTAGCACTGGATTAAGGGTTGTGGTCCGCATGCCAATTATGTCCTATTCTAAAGTCAAAACTACATTTATGAAGTAATCCTCTTGGTTTGAAATTTTTTATTTTTATTCATATAAAACATGGTGGGCACTCATTAGTTATGCGCCATCTTGAAATATGATAGCCTCGGGGTTAAAATTAGGGGGGATTTGTGGGGCAGTAGCCTAAGCAGAGAGGCCTAGACTTCCTTCTCCTGGGCCACTTATGTCAGCTCCTCCATGGGAATCCTAAGGTGTTCCCTGGCCATCCGAGAGACATAGACCCTCCAGCGTGTCCTGGGTCTTCTTTGAGGTCTTCTTGGACATCACCTCAACAGGGAAGCATCCAGGAAGCATCCTAACTAGATGCCCGAGCCACTTCAACTGGCTCCTCTTGATGTGGAGGAGTAAAGGGTGTTCTCCAAGCCCCACCCGGATGACCAAGCTTCTCACCCTACTTCTAATGGACAGCCCAGACATCCCGTGGAGAAAATTCATTTTGGCTGATTGTATCCGCAATTTCATTCTTTCAGTCTCTATCCAAAGCTCTTAACCATAGGTGATTCGAGAGCTTTGCCTTCTGGTTCAGCTCTCTCTTCACCATGCCAGCTAGCACCTCAGAGCTGTGGAGTTTCTTTGGGTTGGCATCGTATTACTGCTGCTTTGTAAAAGGGTTTTCCTCCACTGCCAGTCCCTACATCAGCTGATTGAGAAAGACAAGCTGTTTGAGTGGACTGAGGAGTGTGCAGCAACTTCTCACCAACTCAAGGCTGCTTTGACTGATGCTCCAGTTCTGGTTTATCCCAACCCAGGCAAGTCTTTCACTTTGGACACCGACATGAGTAGCTTTGGGGTAGGAGCTTTGCTTTCACAGCAGAGGGTGGCTGGCAAGAAGGTTGTGGCCCACTTCAGCCGTAGCCGGACTGAGAGAAACTACTGCAACACCAGATGGGAGTTGCTGGCTGTAGACTTGGCAGTGCGGTACTTTCAACCTTACCTCCTGGGAACCAAGTTCAAGCTCCGGACCAACTAAGCTAGTCTTACTTGGTTGTTGAACTTTAACCCTCTCAGGCTCAAAATAAGTTTTGATAAAAGGACGAACAACTAAGTCCTTCAGGGGTACTTCTGAGTTAAAAATGCTCATGAATTACAAATGTGGAGTAACCAGGTAGGTAGGTTTTAACTGTTGCAAATCTGCAACGCCTGCCTCCAGAGGGCTAAGCAACCAGTGGGACAGGTGGCTAGATGGTTATGACCTCTCTTGGCAGCCCTGCCTTGTTAATGAGTGCTGACACTGCGTTTGTTGCGAGGAACAGGAGCATGCACCCTCAGCAGCAGCAGCAGCCGATCCAGTTGCTGACAACAAAGAGAAGGAGCGATTTCCCATGGAACAGCTAAAGGAGCAACAGGAGGCTGATCAAGTTCCGGAAGAGGTGATGAGCTGATTGGCCAGCTGTGTTCTCCCATTTGCCAGAGCTGAAGATCTTGCACTCCCAGTATGTCAGTCTGGAGCTCCATGGGGTCCTTTATAGGTGTTAATCACAACATGGCCACCCAACTTACCATACTCACCAGCCAGCATCAAAGAAACTGGAACTGGAATCTGCCTCTTGTGCTGTGGGCTTATTGCACTGCTGTCCAGGAATCCAGCCAGAACACCCCACTCATCTTGATGTTTGGGAGGGAGCTTCGGACACTGGCGGACTTGATATTTGGTCCACCACATGAGCCAGAGATTTTGAGTGGTCTGAAACTATGTTTGGCAGCTGAAAGAACGTCTTGAAGGGGTGCATAAGCTGGTGCAAACATCCCTGCTGGAAACTGGAGCCCGCCAGAAGAGGGCATTCGACTCCAGGACTAATGGCCCACCCCTTGCACCTGAGGACAAGACCTGGGTGTACTGCCCAGTCAGGAAAAGGGTGCTCTCCCCAAAGCTGATGCATCACTGGCAGGGACCTGGGTAGATCGTGGACCAGATCTCTGAGGTGGTATTTCGGGTTTGCTTGCGTGGTCATGAGCGACCATCACAAGGACCGACTGACTTTAAATCGACTTTGAGCTCCTGTGCCACAGGCTGGTGGCAATGGATGAGGCTCCCCATCTTCTGATGTCAATGCTGAACGGGCCAGGGATTTGCCTGAGATGCTGAGGCACTGGGGCACAGGGGAGACTTGTGCGTGTTCTGCACCAGCCTGGACAGTTCCAGGACTTTATGCTTGAGGGCTAAGGGTTGTGGGGACAGTTGTTTTGTCCTATTTTGGTGTGTTGGGTTGTGTGGATGTCTTTTGTTCAGTGTTCTGACTCTGCATGTTGGTGTCTATTCTGCACCATGAGCAAGGGATCCATTCCAGGGAATGGGACCGCAGTACTGTTTGGCTGTAGAATAAAGTAGTTCACTGTAGGGATGTCTGATATTATCGGTCTACCGATGTTATCGGCTGATATTGGCCTTAAAATGTAATATTGGAAAATATTGGTATTGGTTTTTTGCTCCTTAGTGACCCGACTTTTACATACCATACACATATTACCCATCAAACTCTTTGGCTTCATCTCATGTCTCTGAAAATGTCAAAATATCACATATTTGGGGTTTAGTTTTTGAGATATTTTAGTTTTATTTGGCCCAACTTGTTAATGATAAGGAATTTGCACTGTGTAGAGCAGTCCCTAACAGCATGTGTGTAGCTAGCCAGCAAACAACAACCAATAAACACAAGAATCTTCACCCAAGGTTACCATAACTACAAAATACAGCAAAGTGCTTAGCAATTAGCCTAGCTTAGCATGTATGCTCACACTGCTTACATCTTATTAATATAGGCTTAGCAATTAGCATAGCTTAGCATGTATGTTCACATTACTTACAATTTATTAACTATTAACTTTAAAACACGCCCAAACATTCCCTAAACAAATCAATGCTTACAGCGACAAAAGTTCTTCACAGCACGAACGTATAAAGCAAAATCAGCATGTTCCTGCTGCCACAGTATATTTAGGCAAAGTACACCTACTTTGCTGCAGTGTTGTGAGTTTTCATGAGCCAACAGGATTTACATAAAATAACCCAGTTCTGCACTTGGGCATCAACAGTGATTCTCAAAAATCTGGAATGTGCCCCGCAATTAGAAAACAGGGAGCAGAGAAAATAACCCTGACACACAGATTTTAAAACATACAAAAATATTTTAATAACTTATGGAAAAAAGTTGAATTATTTTGGTCCGTTGCCTCAGGATGGGAAAGCATTGTGCTAACAACACTGTTTACAGTGGGGATGGTGTGCTGCTGACCTCTACTCCGGACATTGTGGATTGATAATTGGTGGCGGAATACTTCGAAGACTGCCACAATCCCACCGGCACATTTTCCAGTAAAGAAGTAGAGTCTGGGACTTTGGTTTGGACTGTCCAATCACTGGGGGTGAGTTTGTCAAAAAGCTCCTCAGTGGCAAGGCTCCAGGGGTGGATGAGATCCGCCCAGAGTTCCTTAAGGCTCTGGATGTCTTAGGGCTGTGTTGGCTGACGAGTCTCTGCAATATTGCATGGACATTGTGGACAGTTCCACTAGACTGGCAGACTGGGCTGGTGGTTTCCCTATTTAAAAAAGGGATCACAGGGTGTGTTCCAACTACAAGGGGGATCACACTCCTGAGCCTCCCTGGTAAGGTCTGTTCAGGGGTACTGGAGAGGAAGGTCTGTTGGATTGTCCAACCTTGGATTCAGGAGGAGCAATGTGGTTTTTGTCCTGGATGTGGAACACTGGACCAGCTCTATACCCTTAGGGGGTCCAGGAGGGTGCGTGGAACATGTAATTTGTGGATTTGGAAAAGGTGTTCAACCACTTCCCTTGAGGGGCCCTTTGTGGGGTACAGCAGGAGCAAGATCAATAGGTGGATTGCAATAGGTGGATTGATGCTGCATCTGCAGTGATGCAGGGCTGTCGTGGTGAAAAGAAAACTGAGCGAGAAGGCGAAGCTCTCGAGTTAACATGCAATCAACGTTCCTACCTTCACCTATGGTCATGAGCTTTGGATAGTGACCAAAAGAACGAGGTCGCGGATACAAGCGACCAAACGGAATTTTCTCTGCAGGGTGTCTGGGCTCTCATTAGAGATGGGGTGAGAAGCTCGGTCACTTGGGAGAGTCTCGAAGTAGATCCCCTGCTTTTCCACATCGAGAGGAGCCAGTTGACGTGGCTCGGGCATCTAAGTAAGATGCCTCCCTGGTGAGGTTTTCTGGGCACCTACAACTGGGAGGAGACCTAAAAGAAGCCCCAGGACATGCTGGAGGGTTGATGTCTCCTGCCTGGCCAGGGAACGCCTTGGGGTTCCCCCGGAAGAGCTGGTCCAAGTGGCTGGGGAGAGGGATGTCTGGGCCTCTCCACTTAGGCTGTTGTCCTTGCGACCCGACTCCGGATAAGTGGAAAAGAATGGATGTATGAATTATTTTAGCTCATACCAGGTTAAACTTAAGCTCAATCATTATTCTGTTACAAAACTCCACTGGTGTGTTCTTAAAGCCTTCCTGGGATTTTTACTCTATTTTATACAAGCAGGCCTTTACGGATTAGTTCATGATGAAGCATCAACCTAAACTTTGTATTGGCTGGAGTTATGGGATTAAACTGTAATCCCAGTCCGGAAATTATTTTGGGTAAGTGTGAGATTAGACAGGAATACTAATTTTACATTTGATTCTAGGTCAAAATAATAACACCAGAATCTGTAGAACTGTGGAAACTTTTCATCAAAAGCTTATTTTATTGAACAATCGACACTAGATGAAAACAAACAGCAGATCTGAACCAACAACAAATTTCAAACCTGTTTCACTCAATTACACGTGTTTGCTATCATGTCAGTCATTTAGACATTACTTTTATTCTGTGTTCCTGCAGGACAGCTGGGAAATTGTGACAGATTCATGGGGGGTCTTTGGGAATGTTCTGGAGCCCCAGAAAAAGGAAGGCTTCATGCTAAAGAGGAGGAAGTGGCCCATGAAGGGATGGCACAAGGTATGATAAATCCCTTAAAAGACCCATGGGACTTTACAGTTCTTGTGAGGGATTTTTTCCATGTGATTGCTTAATTTCATTGAAAGCTGTTCTTTGTAGTTTTTATGTATCCTTTAACAAACTTGCTGACACGACCATTCATGCTTAAAACACATTAAATGACATTCTGCTGCAGATGATTTCACCCACAGGAGAGTCACAGATGACCAGGGTCAGCGCCTGCTGTCTGAGAGCTTTTCCTGGGATAATGATAGTTACTTATATTTGCGTTCCACTCACATGCATTAGCTGATGGCCTGTTGGCTACCAAACTGTATATGTTTAGTATTGACTTCTAAATCGGGTCTCTGTGCTTTCTTCACTCAGATTCTCTTGATGTACAGTAAGAGCCCCAAGAATTACATTTAGAAATGTAAGCAGAGAAGGGAGATTGCATTGGAGTGATAGGAGGAGTAATAAAAGGAGACAAATTCAAGGGAGTATGGAATGACGATTATTTTACTCCAGAAAAAATCATTACAGACATTGTCAAGACATTTGTTCTGTCACAATCACAGAGTTATAACAGGAGTGTTGCATATGATTCCAGCTGCATCTCATTTGTTCCTTTTTTCTTCCTCAGAGATACTTTGTCCTCAATAAGGGCATCTTGAAGTATGGCAAGTGCAGCCCTGATGTGAGTACATAAGGCTACTGGCTGTATTGTGCAGGTTTGTGAGCTACCTCTGTAGTTTTAAAAGCCCTGAATTATTTGCAATCCTTTATCATTGCAAGGAATCAAACTGTAAAATTAGCCTTCCAGCTTCACGTTTTATGGCGGAATGACATGCAGAATGTTGGCTAAGTTGTTTTTGCCAGAGCCAGTACATAGTTTGTTCCTAAACTTGACAGCACCCTGCAGCATTTGTGCACCAGCTAATGTAATAAAATTATGTTTCGTGTCAACGCTAACCCTATCCCTATCCCAGATTGACAAAGGGAAGCAGCATGGTTGCATTGACGTGGGTCTCTCAGTCATGGCCATTAAGAAAAAAGCCAAGTGTATTGATCTTGACGCAGAAGACAACATTTATCACCTTAAGGTAAATCAGAAGAATGGGTGAATGATCTCTGTATTTTTCTGAAATTATGATATTAAAGGGATTTTACCAATAATTATGTGAATTAATATTTAGTCCTAGTGCTCTGTATTTTTGTTTATGACCTCTATTTAAGTCCCACTTGACCTTGTGTGAATGTCTGATGGTGGGATCTCCTCTGCAGATTAAGTCACAGGAGCTTTTTGACGAATGGGTTTCAAAGCTGCGTCACCATCGAGTCTATCGCCAAAATGAGATGGCCATGTACTCCAGCGAGAAGCCCTTCTTCTTTCCGCTATACCCCTCCCCCAACACCCCCAGCATGGCTGAGAGTGCCTCAATCAGAAGGGTAACTCAATAGATGTATTTCCGCTATCGGAAGTTCAGGGTAATTTTATTGGAACTTCCCGGCAGGTGCGTTTCCACTTCACCAGGCCGGGCCATTTTGAGAAACTTTTGGAGTACCTGAACAGGGGAGGTACTCGGAAAGGCCCAGTAGCTTAGCAGAACCTTTGGTTAACTCATGCTGATTAGTAATAAGCAGATATTGTCCAAAACAAGAGTTGCTTGTGAAGCAGAATGTAACTACAAAGACCGTTCACCATCCATACAGCCATCCATTTTATTCAGCTTCTCCAGAGTTGGGTTGCGGGAGCAGTAGCCTAAGACGAGAGGCCCAGACTTCCCTCTCCCCAGCCACTTGGGCCAGCTCTTTCGGGGGAATCCCAAGGTGTTCCCTGGCCAGGTGAGGGACATAGTCCCTCCAATGTGTCCTGGGTCTAACTTTAGGCCTCCTCCCGATTGAACGTACCCGGAAAGCCTCACCAGGGAGGCATCCAGGAGGCATCCTGACCAGATGCCCGAGTCGCCTCAACTGGCTCCTCTCGAAGACCGTTCACACTGATTTAAAATTGGCATTACTAAACTCCCTACACAGAAAAACGCTGTTGAATTTCCTTCACAACCATAGTTCACAGAGCTTTGTTGTGTCACAGAGTACCATAATAAAACAACACTTTTTCTGGTCATTGAACGCCACATTTTACATCATAAAGTAGCTCCCTCAATCCTCTAAATGAATTAAGTTTCCATATTCCAACAGAATAACATTTTTAATGTTAGTGTGGACACTTTTTGATGACATTACTCACCGTTGAAGCAGTCGCGATATGCTAGGGTCTGTGCAAAGTCCTAAAAGGCCTGAATTTGTTTGGAGGCACAACAGAATTTACCCTGAAGTTCTGACAATGGAGACATACCCTACTGTTACTGTGTGCAACATCAATATTATATCTTTCTGCAGGTTCTTTATTTTTCATCTTCAACTAGAAAAATTATTCTGAAGGAGAAAGCTTGTTTTCCCCAATGAGTCATGGTAGATGGCTGCTTAAGCCTGATTCATGCTTCTGCGTCAGTGCGGAGACACGCAACGCCATTATCCGTCCTTGCGTAGGGCCCCGGCAGGCACACAAGTACGTAATGAGTAGAGCCCAACATCCGTCCATCGAGACGGAGAACGCAAGCTGCTGTCGTCTACACCGCCGCCATTGCGCCTTCAAAAATATAAAGAGAGCAGAGAATAACTAGCAGCAGACACGAAGAAGCTTCATGAATACCTCGCGAAAAAACTCTAAAATATGAACGTTTAATTCCCCCGTGACTGGATGAGTGAAACGATACGCAGCAAGCGTTTTGTTTGTGGACGGGAATGACAGGAAACGTGGGTTTAGAGGTGGCGAGTGCATGAAGAGGTGGAGGAGAATGAGAGACAAATATGTCTGTGTTAAAAAGTCTCTTATATATACAAAAAACACAATATAAACACACTATCTTGGACCGGATACATGACAGGATACCACAGAACAGCGCTACGCCCTCTGTTGCCCTGGTGGGGAATTGCTATGCAACACTACCCAGGAGACGGAGGAGTATGAGGGCTAAATGCTTCCATCAATCCATACATGTCTGTCCCTTGCGGAACTGACGGCGAAGCATGAATCAGGCTTTATACTGAGCCAGGATCCTCTTGAGGTTTCTTCCTGTTAAAAGGGAGTTTTCCTTTCCGCTGTCGCTACATGCTTGTTTAGTATGAGGATTGCTGTAAAGACTCTGACACTAGTCAGTGACTCGATGCAACCTGCTGGGTTCCTTATATAGGAAACTTTTTACTGATTGGCTTGATGACCTGAACTGTATTGGAAGGTGTACTTTGTGAACTGCCTTGGGACGACACTTGTCGTGATTTGGTGCTATAGAAATAAAATGAATTGAACTGAATTGTTTTTGGACTGAACTGACCTTGTAGTCTGATTACTTGTGCAGTGCTTGTCAATTCAAAGACAGTCCTCAGTGCATCCTGCAGGAGGCTTCCCGCTCATCTCCAACAGTCAGTCCAAGGTAACTGCATGGCTTCAGTCATCGGACGACATGGACAGATGTTCCAAAGGTGAGACAGCAGAGCTACTTTTGACCTTTGGGTGTTTTTAAACACTCTTTGGAGTTGCGTGTGCTTTTCTTGCAAATCCTCAAAAAATAATGCATGCACAAACTGTAGCACATTATACTGCACTGAGCACACCCGTCAGCGCTGCTTCGGAGGAAAGGACCTGTGGAAATTTTTGTCCTCACTGCACATCTAACACTGTTCTTGTCTAGCACTTTCTACTGAGATTAATCCATGGTTGTTCACATTATGATGTAAATCCATCACTAATGGAAAGAAATCTAGAAAGGGATTCACATGCACCGAAGAAGATGTGGTGTCCCACGCACCACCTTGTAATTGTAAAAGTAAATATGGAAGCTACACATGTCATCTATTCCAAAGCTGTAATCAAAGCTGGCAAAGTTATAACTAAGTGATGAAGAAAAGCTTGTTTTGTCCATTATTCACGTCGATATTCTTACCTTCTCCAGTATAGTGTCGTCCGTCACACTTAAGCGATGTAAAGTCAGGTGAAACGTGAAATGATCATTTGATGAGATGAAAGAAACTGAGGACTACATATGAAAGTGGCCTGTTCAAATGTTTTTGGGTCCCTTTTGCCTGCAGTGTAAATGTGGCCTAATTTATGTAATTAATGCATCAGAACTTCCTCCCGCTCACTCCTCATCAGTCCATCAGTCTGCATCCACCTACGACCTTTAAAATGATAAACAGCAACTTTTTCATATTTTTAAATATTTTTTGAGCCACTGTGTGCTAAAATTACCCTTCATGGGTTAATGAAAGGCCACCCAGCCCGTATCACCCTCTGTGGCCAGAATACTGGCATTCTCCAAGATGGCAGCCCAACCAGTGTATTGTTTGTCTGTTAGTGTCTGACTGTTACACGTTGTTTGTGTTTATGTGCTCTTATAATATTTTCTTTCAATTTTTAGAAAATGTTGGAGTAGATGTTTTGATTAACATTCTCTGTATTTTTGTGAAGTTTTATGATTCATGCAATTTGGCAGAAGGTCCTGGATTGCTTCTCCACCTCAACCCTTGCTGCGGAGACACTGAGGCCTTCAGTCTCAGACAGATACAACATTCCTGGAAAACAAAGGCCTGCTGTGTGGTGTGGTTGATCCCACACTTCTCACAATCTAAAAACCACAAACTCTGACCATCTTCAGCTTGGATCCTGCTCTGATCTTCCTTTGTCTGTGGCTCAGACCTTGGCTGGCCTGATCAGAGTTTTCATCATTTCCAGCTAGGACCCTGTTGGTTTCTGCCTGGTCCTTCCTGGATTTCTTCTGATCTTTGCCAGGCTTTATCTGGTTTCTGTTAGTCTGAAGTGGGCTTTCCATCATCTTTGGACTGGATCGCTTGTGTATGCTATATCTGCTTGGACCCTGGTTCTTCTGTATCTTCTAGACATTGGCCCCGCTGCATCCCGAAAAGCCTGGTTCTGCTTCGATCTTCTGGGTCAGGCTCGTGTCAGCCAACTGGAGCCTGCTTGTAGCTTTGCCTGTTTCTAAGGTGCTAACTGCAACAACCTTCTGGAGACAGAGCATTCAACACCTTCCTGGAACCTGGATTAATTGCTGAGCTGCTCACAACCTTTATTCTGCTGATTCAATATTTTGTAAGAGATTATTTGGCCCGAGAGGAAGCCTGAAGCGGATTTCACCAAACAAAGAACCCTTGCTGGATCATGCTCGTAAACCTGTAATATACCTTGAAACACAAAATGTTTGCTAACATTATGTGATATTGTTAAAGTAACTTATGAGCCCCAAGATTGCACCACAGACCCTCCACCCTTTGTCATACCTTGTGGGGGAACATGTGCAGAGAACTAAATGCTTGGAAAGTGTCACCATTTCCCTTTCCTCCTTTCTCTGAATTATCTGACTTAGTCCAGGTAATGTGTGTTATGACTCTACAAGATAACTTTATCATACCTCTAAATGACTTTCAATTCAATTCGATTCAAAAATACTTTATTAATCCCAGAGGGAAATTGATTGCTGTGGTAGCTCAGAATAATAATAATAATCAAGTCATCAAAGAGTTATTGTATATTACAATGGCTGTTGGCAGGAAGGATCTCCAGTAGCGGTCAGTGTTGCAGCCAAACTGAAGAAGCCTCTGACTGAAGACACTCTTCTGCTGTCGGACAGTCTTGTGAAGAGAATGCTCAGGGTTGTCCATCATTTTCTTGATTCTCTGGAGGATCCTTCTTTGCATTATCTCCTCCAGTGGTTCCACAGTCGTCCCCAGAACAGAACCAGCCTTTTTTATTAGGCTGTTGAGCCTTTTCAGGTCCCTGCTTCTGATGCTGCTACCCCAACAGACGATGGCTGAAGAGATTACACTCTCAACAACAGACTTGTAGAAGATCTGCAGCATCTTGCTACAGACATTGAAGGACCTAAGCGTCCTCAAGAAGTGCAGTCTGCTGTGTCTCTTCTTGTAAACAGCTTCACTGTTCTTTCTCCAGTCCAGTCTGTTGTCCAGGTGAACTCCAAGGTATTTGTATTCCTCAACCACCTCCACTTCTTCTCCCATGATGGAAACAGTGTTTGACTCCACCCTGTTTCTTCTGAAGTCTAAAATCATCTCCTTTGTTTTGTTCACGTTCAAGGTCAGATGATTGTTTCCACACCATGCCACAAAGCGCTCCACCAGCTCTCTGTACTCAGCTTCCTGTCCATCTCTGATACACCCGACAACTGCAGAGTCATCTGAGTATTTCTGTAGATGACAGGTCTCTGACTTGTACTGGAAGTCTGAGGTGTACAGGGTGAAAAGGAATGGTGAGAGTACAGTCCCCTGTGGTGCTCCAGTGTTACTGATCGCCTGGTTTGATGTGCAGTTCTTCAGCCTCACAAACTGTGGTCTGTTTGTCAGGTAGTCTTTAATCCAGGCGATAGTTGAGGCCCCCACTTGTGTCTTCTGGAGTTTCTGGCAAAGTACATCAGGCTGGATTGCGTTAAATGCACTGGAGAAATCAAAGAACATGACCCTCACAGTGCTGCCTGCTTTGTCCAGATGACAGTGGGTTGGTTGAAGCAGCTGGATGATGGCATCTTCAACTCCAACTCCATGGCGATAAGCAAACTGCAGCAGGTCCTGATATGTTCTAGTTTGCTTATTCAGGTGGACCAACAGGAGTCTCTCCAGGATCTTCATGATGTGGGATGTCAGGGCAACCGGTCTGTAGTCGTCACTGACTGATGGGGGAGTTTTCTTTGGAACTGGAACAAGGCAGGATGTCTTCCACAGGACTGGAACCTTCTCCTGGGCCAGGCTGAGGTTGAAGAGGTGCTGCAGAATCCCACAGAGCTGCTCTGCACAGACCTTCAGTACCCGGGGGCTGACACCATCTGGACCTGCAGCCTTGTTCCTGTTCAGTCTCTCCAGCTGCCTCTTCACCTGACTTCTAGAGACAAATAGTTGGGAGGGGGAGGTAAACGGGGCAGCAGCATCTCCTGACTTGGTTGAAGACAGATTTATAGAACCAGAAGAATCCATGACTGCATTAGAGGACAAAAGAGCTGGCGTGTGACAGGAAAATGTTGGATCAGAGGAGGATGGGACGTCTGATTGGCTAGGGACAGGCAAGGAGGATGCTGTGTGTGTTCCTGAACTGAACCTATTGAAGAACTTGTTCAGTTCATTGGCTGTGTCCAGGCTGCCATCTGTGCAATCCTTCCTCTGCTTGAAGCCTGTGATCTTCTTCATCCCTGACCAGACATTTCTGATATTGTTCCTCTGTAGTTTGTTCTCCAGGTTCTTCCTGTATGCCTCTTTGCTGTCTCTGATCTTGATCTTCAGTTGCTTCTGTATACTCCTCAATAATTCCCTGTCTCCCTCCTTTGAGGCTCTTTTTTCTCATTTAGCAGATTCTTCAGTTCACTGGTGATCCAGGGTTTGTTATTAGTGAAGCATCTCACTGTTCTGGTGGGTATTATATTATCCACACAGAAGTTTATATAATCTTTGACACATCCAGTCATGGCATTGATGTCCTCTGAACAAGTGGTTTGTATTGAGTAGAGAAAAACAAGATTGTGATCTGATTGTCCCAGAGGAGTTCTTGTTTTCTCTTGTGGAGCAGCTGACAAACTGTTGAAATGTTGGAAGTGTAGCAGAGAGCGAGGCATGATTGAAATCACCAGATATAGCCACAAATGCATTGGGGTGCTGGGTTTGTAGCTTAGTGACAATGGAATTGATGGCTTCACATGCATTTTCAGCAATGGCTGAAGGTGGAATATAAACGGTTGCCAAGACAACACTGGTGAACTCTCTTGGCAAATAATATGGGCGACAAGTTACTGCCAAGAGTTCAACATCTGGGCTGCAGAGACGACATTTCACTGAAACATGACATGGATGGCACCATCTTTTGTTGACAAGCACTGCCATTCCACCTGCTTTTCTTTTCCCACTCCTCTTCAGATCTCCGTCTGCTCTGTTTCCTTTTGATTTTGTAATAGCACTAAATAAAATAAAGAGAGCTGAAGACGGAGCAGCTTGAAGAACGACTCGCATAAAAACTGTAAAAATATGTGCTTTTTTCACCCATGACTAGAGGAGCATAAAGATATGCAACAAGAGATTTATTTATGGATGATAATGACAGGAAAAATGGTTTTAGAAGTGGCGAGTGCATGAAGTGGCGAAGAGAATGAGGGACAAAGTTGTCTGTGTTAAAAAGTATCTAAAGTATGTTAATGTGCTAAGATTAGCTCAGCCATTGGCCATCAGGTGATAGAAAATCCATTAACCTGTTTATTGAGGTAGATTCCTCATGCAATGGTTTGGTATGAGCTTCTAATTCAGGCATTGTTAATGTTAGCCAGGAAAAGCATTATGATGAAATCAGTGGGGGACGAGCTTCCTTCCATTCCCCTGTGGGAGTCACTCATCTTGTAGGTTTCAACTCTGATTACACCTGGACACCAGGTGGGGGAGAACTCTCAGTGGGTTGTAGACATTTCGAAGGGACTTTT